TTTTGGTCATGATTCATTGAATACAAAATAACCCATGAACTTGATAGATTTAACTTAACGAAACATCATTTCTCCTTCTCGTCTTAAATATAGTACAGTGACTTTCTAAAAGGGTATTAATTTGTACGTCGAAATAGGTCTATGAAAAATTTGGAGATTAGTAGATTTAAAAAATAAAAAAATAAAAAATCTGCTACACTTGAGTGGAAAAGAATTTAATTATAAAAATTTTGAGACCTAAAGGATCATTGATTAAATATTGATTAAATATTATCAAAATCATCTTGACAAGGACTTAAAAATTACAAGTCAATATATATGTATCCTGGATAAATTTTAATAATAATAGGATCCACAGACATATTTTTTAATGTACAAAAACCTGCAAAAACATATGTTATCTTCCGAAACAAAAAATTTTTAATATTAATCCTTAATTTTCATACTTTTGCATTTATAGGCATAAACACAGGTGTGTTTCCTTAAAGAAAGCAATCGTTTTCGCTATAGTCGACATAATAAAGGTTTCTGATAAAAAATTTCCATGGCCTGAGANTTAGATAATATACATGCCCGACTGCCACACAGTACCCCACCTTCCCCTACTCTACTAAAGAATAAAGCGAGTATCAATAGATGGAGACGGACTTACAAAAGTCACGAGATTCATGAAAGAACTGCAATGATATCTTTGAGTCGTTTCATTCATTTTTGCTAAATTAATCATGAAAATATCGGTACTAAATAGGCTGTATCTCACGATAAAATTAAAATTTTTAAATTCTGATTCTGACACTGGAAAGCAAACGAAAAATCCTGTCGGAAAAGTCAATAAAAAAAATTTTTGTTTTTAATTTTAGTTACTTTTCCCCTGTTAATAGATAAAATAATAATAATAAATAAATAATAATAATGAAATGGAAGTTTAATAATTCATTCTATTATTTTTTTATTACTTATTAGAATTTTTCAGAGGGTCATACAAATCTATATGAAAATCAATGTTATTCAGTGCGACATTACATTTCTCAGCCTCAAGTGGAAATACATGGTTTCCCATAAAATTTTTCCACATCAAAATGCATGTGGAAATTCATATGGGAATCACATGGGTTTTCTGATAGTTAAATATTTCGGTGCCCCGTGTGGCATAATTTCATATTTATGGCACGCTTTTCTGCGGCATAGGTTGCCTTTTTTCGCTCGTGCGCTAACCTCACTTTGCGCTATCAGGAACTCCGACTAATGATTCGGGAGAAGGGGCATTAATGTAAATTTAGCACTGTACTATAAAATTGTCTATGATACTCATGCCATGGGGACACTTTTTGGCCCGGCGTAGTTTAGGGCCCGAGCTCAGCCAGCCCTAATGGCACTTGTATCGTAAAGTACTTTTTTTGATAGGGTAGAGGAACACAATGTTTAATAAAATGCTTTCCAAGTGATTTCGATTACTAAAAAATGTACTATAATAGTACTATGTATAATAATTCTATTATAGTATAACTATATACTCTATAGTACCTTTTTTTTAGAAATCGAAATCAGACATTTCTGAAAAAAGTCTAAAATACCGGACAGGCGTTAGCGAGTGAGGATGAAAAAGGGAGAACCAGAGTAAAATTCGCTTTAAATGCACTTTATTAATGATCCCCAAAATAAAACACAAATCACTCTGAGTATAACAATATTTGTTGCTCCGCTATGATTTGCACACAAGTGTTTTTATGTTGAACTTATAAATAATTGGAAAACAAAAGGTAAAATAAAAGCTGCAGAGAGGCTGTGTGTAGAAGATTATAATCTTATAATTAAAAAAATTATTATTTAAATAATTATTTCTTGTTGCTCGCGCAAAATCACACTTGGAACTAGGCAGAGGCTCAGAGTGTTAACTGCCATAAACGGTTTTTTGCAAGAGAGCGATGATCGCACCGCACACAGAGAGGCGACAGTACTGCAGAGTACCGCCATCTGTGCGACGCCAAGGAGACTTCGACGACAAGTATCGCGTAGCAGCGTACTCACTGAGTACTCGTGCGACTTGCCGCACGTGCGTAACGAGGTATTCTGTTGTAATTGACTTACCGTCGTAGGGAAGGGAATTCAGCTTAAAGTTAATTAATTTAGTTAATAATTTAATGATTAATATAAACTCAGTCGGTCGTTGCAGGTTAGCCTCGACGGGGCTTCTTGTAGATACTCAAATGCGCCTGAAAAATGGGAATTTGAGAGGTACGTAGAGAAACAGATTTGGTTTAGACTCGTAATGTTTAATCGTGTACTTTTCTTTATTTAAAATGTATCGAAAGTAAGTAAATATTATGTTTCTTTATTGATTCTTTCTCTATCGTATATTAACTATTTGTTATGCAGGAATACCCCGTTATTCGTGAAGGTTCGGTTCCTTAAGGGTACCGCGTATACGGAAATTACATATAATGTAGCGTTGTTTATATGCGACTACCGTAAGTCCACTTTGGACAGACTAAACAAATGACGTCATACAATAACATATGACGTCATATAATAATATATGACGTCATACAATAACATATGAAGTCATATGTTGAGTCATCATCCAAAGTGGACTTAGGTTTATTATAAGTATTGAATTACTACGAATATCGGGTTACAATATGCATTTTTTTCGATTTTAAAAAAAAATTCAGTGCATATATATTTTTTAAAATGAACTAGTTATAATTTATTATTATTATTATTTTTTTCAAGTATAAAAAATTTATTGAATATGTGAATTTAATATTTTACTGATGTAAAATAATTTATGAGAAACAATTCAATTTTTTTAATATTGTGAACCATGAGGATTGAGGAAATGATAGGTTATATTTAAATCATAAGATGTGGTTAAAGTTAAATATGATTTTTTATTATTCATTCATTATCCAAAATACAGCTGAGCATATTGTTAATATGAAATGTGTATAGCTCGTTATAAATATTACAAATTTCGGTTTTTTTTATTATTATCGTCGACAGTTTTTTGTTTATCAATTAAAAAAGAGCGTATATTTTCATCGCTTTCAACAAAATTTTTATCACTTTTAAGTTTTTCTTTCAGTATATTTATCATATCATTCGCGATGCATGGAGTTTGTTTCGATAGAGCTGCCAAGCGAATCAAATAATCGTTTACACACGCAAACACACATGCTTTTAATAAATAAAATGTCCCATCATGTAACACAATGCTATGCACAAACACTTTTTTTTTACTATTTTCACCGGCCTCGTGCAGCGGCTTCTCGACGATTTCGATGGCTCTTTTATCGTAGCTTCGAGTCAACTGCACAGACCACCCGGTGCTTGTATCGATGGGCCCATCCTTCATCGATATAGTGCCTTTAAAATATTTATCGATTTTATCGAAACAGTCGACGAAGGCCTCCCATTCACATGGTTTGAAGGAGACACCTTTGAAATCGTGGCTTAAAATTCGAACGATCGGTGTATACTCCTTATCAGTAATATTTTTGTATTCAAGTCCGACTAGTAATGTTTTAGTCCAAGACTTGTTTAATGCGAAAATTCTATTACCGATGGGGAAGCGACAAGCCATTGTGATTCTGTCAAGCTACTCGTGAAACTGAATGTAGCTACGAGCACGGGCGGCTGCATTTTATACCGTGAAAACTGATCATATGATCACCCCTTCTCCATTAAATTAAGCAAAGCTTTGACGTAGCATTTTGTATAAATTGTACGTGAGATCCTCCATAGCTATAAAATTTAGCGTCAGCTGTTTTAAAGTTGATATATTTGCGAACAATGGAATCATTTTTTTCCAAGTTATCAGAAAAATGAGCAAGAAAACGTTGGAAACCCAATCCACTGCTCATATAATATAAAAACATCAGACAATATTGTCCACAAACATCCGAAGTTGCACTTTGTAATTGAATAGTGTTATAACGATAGCGTTTACAATTTTTTCTGATTCTTTGATATGTTGTGGTACGAATGGTGGAATACCGTAGCTATCGAAATAATAAGCATAACCGTTGGAGTTTGAGTAAATGCTGACCCAGTGCATTCCAGGTTTCGTGTGATCATCCGTATTAAAAATAAATGCCGTCGGTCTCGTCCACACCTTGGGGATTCGATCGGCCGGAAACACTCCTATTGTATGATCCGATATCAGAGAAAGCTTCTTCAAGAGCTCTAAACTGTTCATCCTGATCGGGTTGTGGCTCTAGTAGATTTTGAAAAATATCGCAACTGTTTTTAAATTTTTGCTGTCCTGCTATCCAATTTTTTAAGCGTATAACATTATTCAAGGCGCAAGCGTAACGCAATGATAATTCTTTAAGACCGTGATGTATGCAGTATGTATCGGCCCATGGTAGATTGAGAAATGATGGACAATCAGGGTCGTACTCGAGATTAATAACTTCTCGTGACATTAGATTTTGTATAAAATCCAGCTTTTCGTTACCACGTACATAAACTTTATTAATTTTTTTAGCTAGCTCCCGGAAAGTTTTCAGAAAGCAGCGAGTTGAAACTTCTCCGTCATAGTAGTCAAGCCCGTGATAATTACGAACTAGCCAGTTATTTTGACGAATGACATCGATAGGAAGGTTTTTACTTGGTGGTGTAATGAGCACCCAGTGGGCGATGTAATTATTTTGTATGCTTGTAACGGCCACCTCTTTCGGAATGCACTCGTTTTTAGCGTTTTTGATAAATTGAATGTCGATCACAGCGTCCATCGCGGAGCAGTGCTGCTTTACAACTGATTAGCTACTAAGTTACCGTCTGGATGAATGCGTTGTCGATTTGCCTGTAGGTATCGTGTTGTAACCGTATTTACGCGGAAAGCTGTTGGTATTAGGAGAATAAAATTTCCAGAAAAATATGGAATTTTGTTTCTTCTCCTCTTTGGGTAGGAGAGCCTGCTGAGTACTATGTTTATTCCCCATTGTTTTATGAACGACTGAATGTTTGTAGGAAAAAGAATACGCTTATATAATATTTTAGCTCGCAAAGTCGACTAAAACTTGTCGAGACGCGTCAATTTCTAAAATATTTTCATATTCAGCGTATATAATACAATTCACTGTAGATTCCAATGCAGCCGCAAAGCGTACATCTAATCTTACAGATCCGTGTTTTATGAGATTCCAATGAGATAGATCATTAGCCGATAAATCGGGTGTCAAATCGAATGCAAATAGACAATAACCGTTGGGATATTTTAACCGTGAAAGATTGTTTCCATTATCCAGGAAGTGTATACCTGTACCCGAAAATAGGGTGTGATAGGCATCTACATATTCATTCCGTGAAAAATCGGGCGTTAGGGGTTTTGACGGAATCTGTACACCATCGATATACAGACATAAAAAGTTAATACCAAAATTTTTGAAATTGAACGGATTCAATGATTTATCGCCGTTGTATGCCTTATTTTCCACAAAGCCAATGATGATACGCTTCGGTATAGTTCCCAATAAAATATTATCTATACTCTGAGAGTGAATACCGCTTTGCAACGTTACAGCCTTGACTTCTAATCGAGTGATTGGATATTTGGCTGTCGTTTTCATCAAAGCTTTTGCGTGTGTCAGTTGAACACTAGGACTAATTTTAACCTTACGTACAATTAAATTAGCCTCGTCGATACGGATACGATAACTATCTGTAGGATCCATTAATGCGAAACTGTCGCGAGATCGTATTAAACGGACGCGTACTTCTACACCGTTTAGTAAAAGTTTTTCCTGATTAAACACGTCGCAATGAAGATGACCGATCATATCGACACTGTTATTTGTCATAAAGAGACGCCGAGTAACCAGACCGTTATTGACATTTTTACAATCATCCATTTTATTTGCTGTATCGCATGACCAAAGAACGGTGCTCAAGTGTGAATTTTTGGCAGCTGGTCCGTAATTGAGTAAAGTTTCGATGTAGGCTCGATAAGCGTAAGTATTATTTGGCGGTACTATCGGTTTTTGGTTAAAATAGATATCAGCTTGAGATATGATTGAATGCATAAAGTTGTTGACAACACCGACTTCGGGTAATGGATCTTTTTGTTCTCCTGTATAAATTAAGCTGACACGTACACTAAGCATAGTATGAGCCAGATCTATATATTCTTCTCCATTGCCAGGTACAACAAATTCTATCGGTGAATCATCAGTTAAAGATGATATAGGCTTATAATGAATCCAATGCGATCCCTCGATAGTTGTTTGTGTCGGCGGTATATCGAATAGTAAGAGTTCGGATTTCAAACATTCGCAAGATTGTGCATGAAGAAACGACATTTTTATTTCCTATTAATAATAGGTTAACCAAATATATCGCGCGTAGTTCGTTGTTTCTTTTTCTTGCGTATAGTTTTTTTTTTAGTCGAACAGATATTTTTCTTTTTCTTGGGGGTTTTTTTCTTTTTCTTACGTGAATTTATTTTTCGACGCTTTCGCACACCGGCACGGCTCTCGATCAACTGAAGATCGTTCGTCGAATACGGCATGTTATAACCAGAGCCAGCCATCAGCGTATCCAATTTTTCTTCTGCTCGTCGTTTTAAACTCTCACCCGTTTCTTTCACGCGCGAACGAAACGATTCTTTAAAAGGTATATTCTGTGACGATACGTCGTTTGCTATATTTAAACCCGTTCGTAGAGTTTCTTTCCCCAAAAATTTTGCACCGCTCCGTAGAACGGGTAAAACACGTTTGAATAGACCAGCGAGAAAGCAGCCGATACCACCGTGCCCGCGTTGATATCGCGAGCCTGCGTAGATCGAGCCTATACCGCTGTCCCCCTGACCGTATTGAATAATTTGATCGTAGCTCATTGGTCCATGCGTTTGAAATGTAGTATCGCTGTCAACGTTCCACAATCAAATGGTATTGGTTGTCCATGTTGATCTCTTATATCTATTTCGATCGTTTGAAAAGAGTTGTAGAGAAGCGGAATATACATGGATGGCGAAAAACGGCTAATTTCGGTAAAACCGTATCGATATTTTTCGCCACCGATGGAAACGCAGCGCAATAGTTTAGCCTGTATATCGCCCGTAAATATCGGCTCTATTATATCCGTGTAAATCAACAGCATCTTTGGTAGGGCTGCAGAAAGATCCGAAGGTCTGCTGCCAGTCACGGAGCTATCGAATCCTAGAGTTAAATATTTTTTTCCAGGTTCGGTATCGAAGCCAAAAATCTGTAAAATTTTTTCCGGCAGATGAATTTCATGAATATCGCAACATTCGATGCCGCAAACGCGTTGAATATGTATATGGGTCAAAATAATACTTTTTTACAAAACCGTGCGCACGTATGTCACCGATCTTGACGCGCTTTTGGTATGTTATAGTACATGGTAAAAAGGTCCCAAAAAAAAATTTTTAGACCCCCTCCCCCCTCCTACCCCCCACTTCCGGTATAAACGTCCATTNTTATATAATATTTTAGCTCGCAAAGTCGACTAAAACTTGTCGAGACGCGTCAATTTCTAAAATATTTTCATATTCAGCGTATATAATACAATTCACTGTAGATTCCAATGCAGCCGCAAAGCGTACATCTAATCTTACAGATCCGTGTTTTATGAGATTCCAATGAGATAGATCATTAGCCGATAAATCGGGTGTCAAATCGAATGCAAATAGACAATAACCGTTGGGATATTTTAACCGTGAAAGATTGTTTCCATTATCCAGGAAGTGTATACCTGTACCCGAAAATAGGGTATGATAGGCATCTACATATTCATTCCGTGAAAAATCGGGCGTTAGGGGTTTTGACGGAATCTGTACACCATCGATATACAGACATAAAAAGTTAATACCGAAATTTTTGAAATTGAACGGATTCAATGATTTATCGCCGTTGTATGCCTTATTTTCCACAAAGCCAATGATGATACGCTTCGGTATAGTTCCCAATAAAATATTATCTATACTCTGAGAGTGAATACCGCTTTGCAACGTTACAGCCTTGACTTCTACTCGAGTGATTGGATATTTGGCTGTCGTTTTCATCAAAGCTTTTGAGTGTGTCAGTTGAACACTAGGACTAATTTTAACCTTACGTACAATTAAATTAGCCTCGTCGATACGGATACGATAACTATCTGTAGGATCCATTAATGCGAAACTGTCGCGAGATCGTATTAAACGGACGCGTACTTCTACACCGTTTAGTAAAAGTTTTTCCTGATTAAACACGTCGCAATGAAGATGACCGATCATATCGACACTGTTATTTGTCATAAAGAGACGCCGAGTAGCCAGACCGTTATTGCCATTTTTACAATCATCCATTTTATTTGCTGTATCGCATGACCAAAGAACGGTGCTCAAGTGTGAATTTTTGGCAGCTGGTCCGTAATTGAGTAAAGTTTCGATGTAGGCTCCATAAGCGTAAGTATTATTTGGCGGTACTATCGGTTTTTGGTTAAAATAGATATCAGCTTGAGATATGATTGAATGCATAAAGTTGTTGACAACACCGACTTCGGGTAATGGTTCTTTTTGTTCACCTGTATAAATTAAGCTGACACGTACACTAAGCATAGTATGAGCCAGATCTATATATTCTTCTCCATTGCCAGGTACAACAAATTCTATCGGTGAATCATCAGTTAAAGATGATATAGGCTTATAATGAATCCAATGCGATCCCTCGATAGTTGTTTGTGTCGGCGGTATATCGAATAGTAAGAGTTCGGATTTCAAACATTCGCAAGATTGTGCATGAAGAAACGACATTTTTTTTTTCCTATTAATAATAGGTTAACCAAATATATCGCTCGTAGTTCGTTGTTTCTTTTTCTTGCGTATAGTTTTTTTTTTAGTCGAACAGATATTTCTCTTTTTCTTGGGGGTTTTCTTCTTTTTCTTACGTGAATTTATTTTTCGACGCTTTCGCACACCGGCACGGCTCTCGATCAACTGAAGATCGTTCGTCGAATACGGCATGTTATAACCCGAGCCAGCCATCAGCGTATCCAATTTTTCTTCTGCTCGTCGTTTTAAACTCTCACCCGTTTCTTTCACGCGCGAAGGAAACGATTCTTTAAAAGGTATATTCTGTGACGATACGTCGTTTGCTATATTTAAACCCGTTCGTAGAGTTTCTTTCCCCAAAAATTTTGCACCGCTCCGTAGAACGGGTAAAACACGTCTGAATAGACCAGCGAGAAAGCAGCCGATACCACCGTGGCCGCGTTGATATCGCGAGCCTGCGTAGATCGAGCCTATACCGCTGTCCCCCTGACCGTATTGAATAATTTGATCGTAGCTCATTGGTCCATGCGTTTGAAATGTAGTATCGCTGTCAACGTTCCACAATCAAATGGTATTGGTTGACCATGTTGATCTCTTATATCTATTTCGATCGTTTGAAAGGAGTTGTAGAGTAGCGGAATATACATGGGTGGCGAAAAACGGCTAATTTCGGTAAAACCGTATCGATATTTTTCGCCACCGATGGAAACGCAGCGCAATAGTTTAGCCTGTATATCGCCCGTAAATATCGGCTCTATTATATCCGTGTAAATCAACAGCATCTTTGGTAGAGCTGCAGAAAGATCCGAAGGTCTGCTGCCAGTCACGGAGCTATCGAATCCTAGAGTTAAATATTTTTTTCCAGGTTCGGTATCGAAGCCAAAAATCTGTAAAATTTTTTCCGGCAGATGAATTTCATGAATATCGCAACATTCGATGCCGCAAACGCGTTGAATATGTATATATTTTCCGGGATTTTTGGTTATACGTAAATGATTTATCATCATCGGTAACGTATTGATTTCACTAACGAGTTCGGTTACGTTGGCATACAAACCAAGTCTGATGGTTGCGTGCGAAGATCGAGGAGTCTCGCGAGCAATAATTTGCGGCCGTTGTTGCGATACAGCGTTGCTTGTAATTTCTAGGTGTTGAGCAAATTTTGATATTTTTTTTACGGTAATCATATAATCTTCGGAAGAGATGTGCTGAAACGTCATAGGCACGTGTATTTCCGTGAGTGCCACGCTCCATTCGCCAACGAGATTGATCGGCTGCGATAAGCGTGTCGTATAACGTGTAGTAGTGTTATCTCGAAAGAAACTCATACTCGAATTACTTGGCAAAATTATGTAAAACTGATCCTTCATTTTTGCCGATCTATGGATATCGCAGGCTCCCAAGAATTGAATTTATCTGGATATCCACGCCACTGTATGAGATATTTTTTATTGCGCCCACGACCTTTTGTATCTAAAATTTTTTCCACCTCGAACACGGCTGTATCCAAATTTTTTCTTACTCTAGTTAATTCTTGTTCGTAAAAGAATCCATCTATGGACTCACCGGCCAGATCTTCGATGTAATATACAGCAGGCTGCCGAGCTTCCGATATACGTTTGATTTTAAATATTTCTATCGTCCAGCCGCCTTCGTAACCTTTTGCGAAGGCATTCTTGGCCCGACTGACGCGTACTAAATCACCGATCTTGTATTTTAGTTTTTTTCGCCTATTATAACTACTAGGGGGCAGCTTATAGCGGCTCTCGAGATTTTTCCGAGCCAAGGCGGCGTTATTTAGATTTACGCTTACGGGTGTCATCTTGATGGCTGAGTGTATCGTGTTGTTGTATGCTTGGACAATTTTAGGCAATACATCTAAGAAACGGCGCGTACGGTGATGCGTAAAGTATCGCCAAATACGTTCCTTCAGAGTGCGTATGAATCTCTCTGCGATAGCAGCCTTGATATCGGGATTGCGTACCACGCGGTGTTGTATATTTTTTTTTTAAATAAAGTTAGCGTTTCGCGCGAGACGAATTCTTTACCCTTGTCCGTCTGTAGGAGTACGGGTAGACGGCCGCGGCTGCGCTGAAATACGCGTTCGAACGCCATGGAAACCGATTTTGCGCTCTTATCTTTTAACGGTTCGACCCATGCGTATTTGCTCAGAGCATCGATTATCACCAGTAGATACGTATAATTGTCGTTATAAGTTTTCAATGCACGCCAATCGATTAAATCGGCTTCTTATACATCGTCTATATTACGCACATTGTAGCATCTTCGTGGAAATTTTCGTATCACGGGCGTATGAAGATTGTACGCGTCGTGCTGTTCGAGCCACGAGGATATCGTATTACCGGTGTAGCGCTTACGCATATGCCGTTTGAGTCTGTTAGCTCCGGCATACGCAGCGGGCTGCGTAGGTGAAAAATAGAATTTTTCAAAGCTGCTCATTTTTTTTTTTTACTTTTTCTTTCGCCGCGTTTATTTATCTTTTTTTTCTTTTTGTCACAGCCTATGCTTTTTTTTATCTTGGAGAAAAATTTTTCAAACGTTATTTTGCTGACCATGCAACAGGCCGTCAGCATGGCGAATGTTCGTTCATCTGGTTGTGCGTCAGCAGCGAGTAGGCGTTTGAACGCGCGTTCAGCCAGCAAGCGATCGGCTTGCGTGCGATTGGCTTTTTTATCGCTGTAAGCGATATCGTGTTCTCGACACGCCTCGTCCAACTTATTGATACCGACGTCGCCGCGTTCGAGACGTTTAGTAAGTTCTGTGCCTGGTCCAAGAAACTGATAACCGGGTATATGCATTTCGAACGGCATCAAATCGCATATGGCGTCCAAAGCGCTCTTTTTATAAGGCTCCTCCTCCTCTTCTTCGTTCAATGGTGTTCGCTCATTCGAAGCCATTTCCAATTGTTTGTAATAGAGGGGTAGCGGGTGCGCGGCGTTTTGTTATTGCCGGGCGTTGGAACGATTTCGGGTGAATTTATTTTTCTTTTACGTTTTTGTTTATAATTTTTGGGCGGCGATGAGTTCGGAGACGTATTTGATTCAGCTGGCGAATCGTATTCGCTTATTTCTGGCTGGCTAATGACGAAGCGTTGATAGTGTTTATTTCCGATAAATTCTCGCGGGACCGATGCTCTCCGTAAGGCATCGATAAACTGACTGGTACCGCGCGGCGGAGATCCCTTTCTAGATCTCATACTATCGTTGACGAAATCGATGATATTACCTTCGATCGAAGAGCCATCTATACTTACGGATCCGTTTTCGGACCATTTAACGGAACCATCTTTACGTAGCCACTCGACGAGATTTTTCGCGTTATGCCGATATTTCGCTGGAACGCTTTCGACGATGAACGCGTCTACGCTCTTGATCGGTGCCGAGCTCGTTGCGCTGGCCTCGTCTTTGCCTGTATCGCTAGCGTCGTCGGCCTCGTCGGTCCGCTCCTCCGTTTTTATTTTTTTTTCGATTATGTGCTGCGATGTTTTCTTGAGTTGAAGATAGCGTTGCAACACGTTATTATAGCGATTCCATTTAGCGCGCTCGTCGCTGCAAGGTGCGAGCAATATTTCGTTCATCTCGGCATCGAGACGTTCGAGCGGCGTGCCGGGAGTTTGCGCGCTCTTCTTCTGTTTGACGATAACGACATCGGAACCGCAGCCGAGACGATCCAGGCTTTCCTTTGGCAGCAAAACCAATTTTTTCGCGTGTTCCATTATCGTGTTAAAATGCTAGCCAGTACGGTGCCGATAAGGGGACCCAATAACGCGGGCAAAAAACCACCGTGCTGCACTAGAATTTTTTTTCTGCGCGTCAGCCGAATACCCGGTTGCGAGAGTTTACGCAAGATCGGGGCGTGTTTACGCAGCCGAGCCTTGTGGCCCTTGCTGAGCTCGACGTTGCCGGCCAAAACGTTCAAGGCGCATTCGCAGAGCGCTTTCACGAGAGACGGACTGGCTTTTTTCAGAAGCGCTGAACGCTCTTCGTTATTGAGATGATAGAGGGCCGATAAAACGATGGCGTTTTTACGACCGAACGGCTGTCTGTTGCTCGCTCTCATCACAAAGATAGCACTGGCAGCAGGTCCGCGGAGCGCGCTCCTTTTATCGGATTTTTCGGCACGTAAACGTAATGATGCGTATCGTCGGGAAAAATGCCCGTGCGAAAGCGACAATTATCGGGTGTGGTCTGTTTGAGGTCGAGCAAGAGATATCCGTACGCTCGCGAGGTGGCGTCCGAATAGGCTTCCTGCAAAAATTTCGGATCCTCGGGATATACCTGGCGAGCCAGGTGGCGAATTTGCGTGCGATCTCGCACGTTGCGAAATAATACGATGTAGTGCGAATTGAGCGAGACGTCGCGCTGACCGCGGCCTTGATGAAAGATATTCTGCGTGATAAAAATCACACTGAGATTTTTATGATGGCTATTTTTGGTGAATAAATCGCAGAGAGCGCCGCTCGACGAGGACTGTCGCATGAGATCGTCGATTATAACGAGTTTGGGGCGTGGATCGTCGGCGAAATCGGACGTTCGCGGCAAGCCTTCGAGAAATTCCAACGAGCTGCCGAGCTCTCGATAGGCGGGCTGCCATTCCGAGTAATACAGTATCACGCGCTCGAATCGCGTGTCGCTCATTCGCGTCAAATTGTTCAAAAATTTTTTTACGAAAAAAGTTTTACCGCATCCCGTTGGACCCGATAGTATCGAGGTCCACGGATGTATCCAGGGCATCGATATATCGACGACTGAACGGCCGATGGCTCGCCTCGTGAGAGGGCCCCCCCGCGCCGCCGCCGCCGCCGCGTCGCTATCTCGCTAGCCTTTTGGCTACGCGCGGGGGCTAGCCTCGTGGCCCGCGCCGCTATCTCGCTAGCCTTTTGGCTAGGCGCGGGGGCTAGCCTCGTGGCCCGCGCCGCTATCTCGCTAGCCTTTTAGGCTAGCCACGAGGCTAGCCTTATGGCTACGCGTAGGGGTAACCTTATGCTGCAAGGTTGATCTTTTTTTTGGAGGGTGTAATATTAGTTTATTGAATATCGTTAAATAAAATTAAAGCAACGTTTAAATGGAATGAAACATTTTTATTCTTTTTATTCGTTGTATAAAATGTACAAGTTTTTTTTCATAGACGTATATTCTTATTAATAAAAAAATTATTATTAC